AGGTTTTGTAAAATTACACTATTATACGAGTAAAAGACAAAAATAAGTTAAATTTCATAAACAGAAATCTGGTTTAATAATCTATACTTTGTTTAATTGTACTTCATATAAACGACAAAGAATCGAATAATGTTGAAGGTTATATTTAACACATAGTTGTTTACATTCTTCAAGAAATCCAAGACTTAGTACAAGATCATTTTCCTTTGCACAATTTTCAGTTAATAATAATAAAAGTCTTCAAAAGTAAAATAAATCAATTAATTAAAAATTCTATTTTAAAATGGTTTTACTTTATTCTTGATATAAGATCAGATACTTTTCTAGATTTAATAATTTTTGTAATTCTATTGGATCTCGTTGACTATCATCAAGTTCATTTAAATTATGTAAACATATTGCTCGGCTAATTATGAACAAGTAAATCTTCTTATAAAATATAAATTTATCTTACCGTATTTCATATTCAACTTGTGAATAATTCGAAAATGTTTTAGCTGTAATTAATGCTCTATCGCATTCATTTCGTCGGCATTGAAGTACAACTTGTATATCAGCTCGAGCCATATCAATTAAATTATGTGCATTTGTTGACAGTTGTACTAAATCAATACTCTTATTTAACATTTGACTTGAAAGATTGTATTGTCCCTTTTTTTTAATGAAAACCTTTAAAAGAATTAGGTATGCCTTTTAAAAGTTGTACTTGATTTAGTATAGCCATTGATAGATATGAACATGCTAAAGCATAATATTCTGTATGACGAAAATGTAAATGTTCACTGTTATCAAGAGCCATTGCTGAATAGAGTAAAACAAAATCACTAAATAAAAGAATTTGTTTATGCATGTTAGTTCTTTTCTTGAAGAGCTTTAGTTTTTCTTTTACTTGTATTGTGCTAAATTCCAAAAAGCTGTTTTATTTAAATAATGTATAGCAGCACGATTAATCCAATTAAAACGTGATTTAATATCAGTTCGTTCAAAATTTATATCGGTTCGTTGTCTGGAAAAAATTATTATTTTTTGTCTGATTTAAAAAATAATAAATACAAATAAAAACATGCAATACGGTTGGAAGGTTTCCTCGACTTATAAATTGCACTGAAGGCCAACTTTCAACACATACGCAATCGTCCTATTCAATACAATGCATTTCGTTATTCTTGATGTTTTTATTTTTGTTAAATAAATTTTACCGTAGTTAATAGTTCAACCGATGAATTATCAAGTTGTTTCAAATATCGATTATCAAGTAGTAAAAGACTATCAACTTTTTGTGACGTATTTAATATTGAAGCGATTAATTGATCCTATGGATAATAAATTTTACTTAGAAAATGACATTAAAATCATGGTAGTACTAAAGATAATCAATTCTATCTTATGATCAATAAGAAATACATAGAAAAAAACGGTTAGCCTGTTTATTTTGCACTTTGTCGCAGATTAAAATATAGATCCGCAGAGAAACATTTCTGTTCTGCAACAAAAGAAGATTCGATAAAATTGAAACACGTTTTTGTTATACTGACAAGGGAA